ATACATACATATATACACACATACACGTGCAGACGGACAGACAGACAGACGGACAGAGGGACAGAAGGACAGGGACACAGATAGACAGGGAGACAGACAGACAGACGGACGGACGGACGGACGGACGGACGGACGGACGGACGGACAGACGGAGTGACGGATGAACGGACGCACGGACATCTATACAATATCGGGGACACCCGGAAAATCTGCACGACCCATCGCCTGTGATAAGCATGCATTGCAGCAGGGCCTTGGTTTCAGGTGGCCCTGCCAGGACCTGGATTTAAAAGCTGTGTCAGCAGGTATTTTCAAAGGACTGTGTGGTTCGGGAAGGCTTGCGGAATCCGGGTCCCAAACCAACGTGATCTGGTAGATGGGACGTCCCATTCCTATGTCGTACAGTAGGATCCTTTTATTTTAATGATACCATGTGTCGAAACGGCGGTTACTTCTATCATGGCGCCTAACGGCCCTTGACTTTGCGCAATGTCCCCTGAGCCTGAGGCCTGGACTCCACGAGTACCGTGTCCTTCGTAGAGGCAGGGTTCTCGGGTTGAGCGTTTGCTTTTTGAGGAAGCATGCAGCACGTATTTGCCTCGTCAGTTCATGTACCCAACCCTGATTGCGATCCTCAGCGACCCCCTTTCGTAAGTTGGCCGCCCCAGTTGTTGGCAAACCCACACCGTGGGACCCGCAGGTCAAACGCATCATCGAGCGGGAGTGTTGGTCTCAGACTGCGCAGTCATCGAGGTTGTCGCAATGGGCTTCGGGTAAGGAAGCCCACTCGGCAGCATTTCATGCAGATCTCGGACGAGTGTTCATGAACCCTTCATCATGCAGCAGTCGCCGAAGACAAGCAGCCTCCGCAGAATTGCCGGGAAGAACTTCATTTTTTCCTTCTCCCAACCTTCAGAGCCGGGAAGGTAACAGCAGATAGCCATCTCAAAACCCTAAGCCTTAAACCGGGTGTTGGTGGAGAATCCCTCTGTTGGTTGCTGCCTCCCGAACCCCGCCTCAGCCAGGTTGGCATTCCCGAGACCTTCTGGGCTGACGGAAAAGAGGTGATAAAGAAAACCGTTAGTCCACGAACTAAACCCTGAAGCTTCATGCATCCAGAGGCTGGGACGGCCGCTGCGTGACGTCTTCGCCTACGTAGATCCGACACCCCTCGTGACACTGACTCGCTTGGAGTGAGAAACGGACGATGATACAGCACACTTTACCAATTAGAACGGAGAATAGCTTAAGTAGAAGTGTCCCCCATAATATATATATATATGTACATATACATACACACACACATATATACACATACATACATATATATATATACATATGTACAAACATATGTATGTATGCATGCATGCATGCACGCATGTATGTATGTGTGTATGTATGTATGCATGCATGCATGCAGGTATGTATGTGTAAGTTTAACTCTCTCTCTCTCTCTCTGTGAGAAAAGATTCTGTGTGTATGTGTGTATGTACGCATTGCCACCACTACTACTGCTGTTGTTGCTGCTGTGCTGCTGCTACGACAACTGCTGCTGCTGCTGCTGCTGCTGCTGCTGCTGCTAGCTGCTACTACTACTACTACTACTACTCCTCCTGCTGCTGCTACTACTACTGCTGCTGCTGCTGCTGCTGCTGCTGCTACTTCTGCTACTTCGACTACTACTGCTACTGCTACTGCTGTGATGTTGAGAGCGAGAACGGCTTTGATAAGAGCCAACCCGCAGCGCAGTATAGTGTGGCATGTAATGGACTAGGATACACCGTGTCGCTCAGAGAAACCCTACTTATTGTTATTACTGGTATGAGGCATTGATTTTGGTGTAAACACATTCTGTTCCAATGCATGTGCAGAGTCGTTTTTCCACCGAAGTGTGTATACGTTCTGCGCGGCATGGTAGACGCCAGAGCTCAGAGCCCCCGCCGAACGCCAGGCGTCGGCTTCAATCGCTCAGGTCCACACGGGCCGTCTGCGTGACGGCAGCGAAGTGGTGGTCAAGGCTTGCATACCACATCATAGCACTACAATCTCCCCAGATGGCGGTGGTTTGCTTTGGAATTGGGGGCATGCGGGCATGCTCATGCTTTTCGGGTTCTGCAGGTGCAGAAGCCTGGCATCGAGGAGGTGCTGAAGACCGACCTCGGCACGGGGCACAGACCTCTGCCGTAGGATCAGGGAACAATCAGCCTTCAACTCAGCTTTGCGGCATCGCAATTTCGTTGATAGTAATGTTAGTAATGGCTTCTGACTATAGGCAGCATAGTGGATGACGTGACAACATGCTGTTAATTTTTGCCCGGCCCAGGCGTCGTCTACCTAGCTGCGAGGATCTTGGAGCCACGGCCTCGACGTCTCACGAACCAATCATCACGTGCTATCGTTGCCCTTGCAAGGATGCGTACTAGTTAGTTTTTCCTCTGATCATGACTGTATCTTATCCTGTATCAGGGTCATGGTCACCACTGTTTCGATGGCTGATGCCTCACGGTTACAGCGATCGTTTTGTTTGCAAGTCTGCGCTGATGTTTCTGTTATTCCAATTCTTCCTCTTCCCGAGCCATTAAACTGACACTGTAAACCCTTTACCCCAAACCATAAAGTGTAAATCTCGCCACCACGTCATTTTAATCCAGCTGGGCTCCGCATAGTGTCACAGTCCTTCTGTGCAGAATGCTATCAATACCATTGAAAGAGGCACATTGAACATCTTTTTGGAGAGCCAGCAAAAGACAGCTGTCATTTGCGACGCGATGGCGATTGGCATTCACACTCTCAATTTCTGGTATACTGTGGGTACCTCTTCGTGGGACAGAAGGCAACGAGATAGAACCAACACAGGCACCGCAGCGGGAGTTCAAGAAGTAGATCGTGTCTTTGCGCGACAATCAGCTATCCTGAGGTTTATAAATCCGGACCTGAACATCCGCGGGTCGCTGGCAGCAGCATGGCTGCAAGACAGGTCATGTGACTCTTTAAGACTGTGCCCGGGACTGTGGCCCGGCGTGGGAAGCATGATGTCTGCCACCTGCTCGAAAAAAGCAATACGCCACAAGACATTCCGGGATTGTTTGTCTACTGAACTTCTCCGGAGTCCCACATGGCCTTTACATGTCGGGTCAGGACATCGCCTCCGACCTGCGGCAGTCCATGCTCGGAGAGCTTGATTTCCGAGAGGAGCGCCGGCTTGCTACACATGCTGCGCAGTTTGCACGGCATTTCGGCATCTGCCATCCTCTCACCTTACCGTGACCCTAGGAGCAGAAGAACCTGGACGTTTACAGAGATTTCCTCGATGAGAACGGCTTGACGGCCATCGCCGCTGGAAGCTCGGGCTGGCTATGGGGCATGAGGAGGGGGGGGCTTGCGAAGGAAAGTTGTGGCCACTTAGCAACGATTTTGGGGGATTGAACATCGCGAGCACGCAGTTATACAGCCACTTCCGGAGCTTTTGCACTTGTCTGGGTGCTTGCAAGTTTCGACACACCCACCGCCACCAGGCCTGACTTCAGGGTAAGGGTGGGGTGGAGCTCCCCCCCCGAGAGCCCAGCCTCAGTCTGGGCTGTTCACATTTGCGAATCCCCTCTTCCGGCTTCGGCCATCGATCCAATCTGTCTGGTTCCGCGGCGGTATACCCTACGGATTTCCTGAAGCCCAGCTTCGCATCGGGAGCTGAGGTCGCACCGAAGCCCTACCCAGAAGCTTCGCCGGTGCCCCGGGCAACAAGCAACGAGAGATGCGGGATAGCTCTGCAGAGTAATTTTGCTACTGTTGTGAATTGCTTTGGATATTTCCTAATCTCAACTGCTTGGGCCCAACCCCTTGGGCCCTGGAACTTTGATCCCTCAGCCTTACAAGCAAGCCCGTGCTTGATCCTTTCCCTCAGAACCCCCCCTGTCCCTGGCGCCAAAACCTGTGCCTCCCAGGTCCAAACGCGTGCTGACAATGGAGCGTCTTTCCGGCGTGCCCTTGGTGGATCTGGAGGGGATCAAGCTGCTTAGCTGGAGTCTTTTGAGGAAATGTAGGGATTCGGAGGTTTGGTGCTTGAGGTCGAGAGGGTCCGTCTGGTCGCCTTTGAATTACTTCGCCTGCTTCTTAGTGTTGAGAACTGTGCCGGCCGGGTTCGCTGACCATGGTACAGAAGATAAGCATCATCATCATCATCGCCGTCGTCGTCATCATCATCATCATCATTATAATCACCATCATCATCATAATCACCATCATCATCATCATCATCATCGCCACCATCAACATCATCACCGTCATCATCATCACCATCATCATGGCCACCACCGGCATCATCATCATCATCATCATCATCACCATCATCTCTTCGTCATCATCATCGTCATCATCATCATGGCCATCATCTTCACCATCATCATCATCATCATCATGATCATCTTCATCACCATCAACGACGACGTGGACGACGACGACCACGACGACCATGTCGACGGCGTCGACGGCGAAGGCGAAGGCGATGGCGACGAGGGCGACGAAGACGACCAAAATATTAACAGCAGTAGATGGTATGGCGCACATACTACAAAACAACTGCAGAAGCGTGTTCTTTTGTCCGGTGGGTTCTGCCCAGGAAGTACACCGCCGATCCAGAGGCAACTTTGGTCAATGCTCTGAATGTGGAAGCCCCAATCTTTGCGATTTCGCTGCGGTTAGTGTCAGCGCATACTCAGGCCTTGTCTCTTGGCTTCCGGTCTGAAAGCTGATATGCGGTCCCTGAAATGCAGTGTTCCATTACAGCACCTTCTTAGCATCTCAGAGATTGTTTTCGCTCTGACAGAAGGGGGAGAGTTTTTGAACGCAGCTCGAAAGCCCAATCCCGGAACCCAGACCCATCACATCTACTCGAGTGCCAAGGTTTGGGCCCTTTCCGTTCAGAAGTGCGAGTTCTTCCATGCCGATGTCCATGCCGGAAACCTGCTGGTTCTCGAGGTCGCTTGCTACAGAGTTGCGAGACCCGTGGAGACCACCCCTCCCCCTCCCCCCGTCCCCCATTTCCAACTATAGTTATCACTCTCGCTCCACCCCTGCCCCTTCCGACAACATTACAGCCCTTGCATGTTTCCAGTCATGCGGAGGGGAGTGCATCTCCTGCAAGATTCGTGCCCTTCAAAGTCCATGTTTGTCTCATGAGGATGGTCGCGTCGGTTTCATTGACTTCGGCATCGTCGGCGCTGGGCTTGGATTTCCCCAAAGTGCGGGGGCTTGTGCATGGCGTATAGTACTCTTTTATGCCGACTGCAGTAGGGGTTTGCGTTGCCTGTAGTACGGCTCGATGATCTGCAGGTGTGTGTCTGTGTGTGTGTGTCAGCGTAACTGCAAAGCCCAAGTTGTTGTAGTACAGAGTGCCCTCGCGGTGAGAAGGAGAATGAGAAGCAAGTCCAACTCGCCCCCCGATCCTATTTTCAAATGTCACGAACACTCCGACTTTGTGTTTGAGGATTCGTTGGATTTGAGAGACAACGAGAGGGCAAGCATACAGCGGTCAAGCATCCAACACGGGCAGTGACTGCCGTTGCAGGTGACGGTTTCTTTTGCATCCCAGCAATCGCGTACGCAACAAGCTTTTGTGGGCACCTTCTCGGCGTGAAAGAAAACTTGAATGGCATTTGGCCATTAACCGAATCCAGCGCAGAATTCGAGAAAGCTAAACCACGCAGCGACGAAGAGGTCAGCTGTGAGATACGAGATTTATCGAAGTCAGTGGTTGTCAGAGAGTCGCGGTAGGCAAGACTGCGCGACGGTGTGGAAGGGTCAGGGGTATGTAGGCTTGGAATCATGCATTTGGCGATAGCTTTAGTCAGGCTTGCCCAAGTGCAGCTCTTCTTTGCATGGTTGTGCGCCATTCCAGCCAGCGAAGCCTTTCTGCCTTGACACTGACACTGTGCTGCTTCGAAGCCCGAAGCTTTCAAGGGAAGAGTCGCGCAGAGACTAAGGCCGCCTCTCGCCGCAGATGGCCACGGGCATCGACAAGCTGAACACCGCGCTGGCAGCCGGGGTCCCTGAAAGCTCGGGGGGATTCGTCGGATGTACAGCTCAGGGATATTCCTTGGAACCCTGCCTCTGCCTTCAAGAAGACTCCATGAACGAATCAAGAAGCTTTTCTCTGGGACAGTGTGTGCTCGGCGAGCTCCCCGAAACAGCAGTACGCACGAGACAGCTGTCTTTGACCATCTGGCCACAGACAAGTCACCCAACTAGAGACTAGGGCAGCAATTGCTCGCTACTCGCCCAGGTCAGTGATGCCCGGGGTATGGCGGGTTCCTCTGCGCTTGTCATTGCAGCCGAAACCCACAAGGGTCAGGAGCCGGAAAGCAGCGCAAGAGGGTAAAGGCTACAATTCGGGGACAAGGTTCGGAGAGTAACCTCGGTTAATGCCAATTTGGCAGCAGTTATCAGCACTTCCCGCAACTCTGACCATGTGTGGCTTGCATGAGGTTGTGTTTATGTTACAGTCACAGCTGCAGTTGTTGGTGAGTGTCTGCGGGGCTCCGACTGAATTGTGGGGGATCGTCTACATCCGCTTGTATTATGGGGACGTTTGCGATAAGATCATGCTTCGCATGGATCCGCCTCTTGTTCATGACGATGCTTGCCACGGGCACCGGGATGAGTGGGAGGAGGAAGATAAGAAAGAAGATCACGGTGCTAGGGTAACAGTGACGATACATGCTGGATGTGGCCGTGGTAATTGTGCAAAGATCAGATGCCCGTTTCCATCACAAGCAATCAAAGGAAGCCCAGTTGCCCAGGCCAACGCGCTCATCTCCATGGGTGCAACAGTTGGCAAGGCGAGCTCTTGCTGCGGAAGTATTTCGCGCGGAGCTGCCAGTGTGAGATTAAACGTCTCTGCGGAAACCATTCGTCGCCCGGACGTATTCTTTCTGGGTGGGCAGGTTTTGCATGCGAATGTCGGCTGCACGTTGTCGTTAACATCACTCTCAAAGTTGGGCTTGTAACTGTGTTGAGTTTGGGTGACCAGACTTGCATCACACCCGTTTCCGAACCCTTTTCCTGCCATCAGCCGTCGAAACAGGTTGACGAAGAGGCCTTTGCGGCAGACATCCAGAAGCTCATTTCTTCGCTGGGCTTTGGCCTCGTTTGTTGGGCACTGGGTGAGTGCCTATGGGGGAAATGTCCGGGACTGTCCGGGTGATTTGCATACCTCTGCGTGCCTAGCAGGCCTAGCAGCTGCTACTTTTCTTTTGATTTTAGCAGCATCAGCATCTGGAAGATTAGCGGTTGCAGTGGCAAGTCAGCAAGCTGCGCAACACCGGAAACAACCAGTATTAACAGTATGGTTTTTCTGCCCAACAACTTCAATGGTACGAGTCGCATGAGCAACATTCGCCGTGTCTCTCAACGAAAGAAACATTGCCGGAGAGACACACCACATGTCAGGACTGCTAGAAGGGTTCACCATGGGTACGCTTTATTTCTCAATACGAGCGGGCTCCACAGTGTTGGCCCGGTCACGACAGCCACACAAGTAAGAACATTGGGGAAATGCGCAAGCTCAGCCCAGGTGCCAATGCCACGAACAGTACAGGCATGTTCTGAAACGAAAACAGTGCTTTCTGTCTCTCAGGGTCTGTAGTGCTCTTAGCGTCAGTGCGGTCACAAGTTGCTCAGTATCAAGGAAAGCGCCAATGTCAACATACTGCCTGCTACAATAATAAGTTGAATGCGCTGCACTTCCGAAGGTTTCACAGTGGGGAAAGGTTCACATTGGCCCCTTCAGCACTCACCAACAACCATCCTCAAGCTTTACGCTGAGGGCTTTGAGGGTCCAGAGGCAGCTAAGGGTACCTTTACAAGTATCTTAAAAGCATTGGACATGCAGTTCCCTTGTATCCCCGCCTAGAAGTATGCAGTACTGGTTTGGCGTCCAGTTCTGTGTAGCAGGTTCGGCTCAATCATAAGGCACATTCCTTTCATCTGGTGAGTAGACACGGAGCCTCAGGAAATACTCTGGACAACACTACCGACATGGCGGTGGATGAGTCCAAGATCCAGGACGCCTTCAAACCCTTGGATCGCTGGGTCTGTGAGGGTTAGCTTTAGTTTGCATAACATGGTCCAATATTTACAGATTACAGTAGTCAGCTTCCCGTGCTTCGAATGAGCCTTGCACTTCCCTAGGGCACGGAACCTGCTGTGTGTGTGATTCGCGTACTGACGGGTGTCAAAAGCGAAAGCAGGGTTTTTCACTTTGAAATGACGGTGGACGAGCGCCGGCTTTCGAGCATCTCGCATCTCATTCGTACATGCACTTGGGAGTTGTTATTGACTTAGCATCTGAGATGAAGATGAGAACGAGCTAAAGATGCTTAAACCCTAACCCCTAAACCCCTTAACCCCTAAACCCCTAAACCCGAAACCCTAAACCCCTAAACCCCTAAACCCTATAGATGATGAGGCGGCAATTGGCCGCGTTTTGAGTTTCCAAGAGATTCGGAGCTGAGCAGCTCGGGCTTCCTTTGGGAGCTTCCCTTTTGTTGGGGGACTTTAAGATGCTCTGGGCTCTGAGGCTCGACTCATGGTGTGCCTGGTGCTTTTGTTTAGGGCTCCGGATGTGGGGGCTTTGGGGTTTAAGGGCGGAGGCTTCGCGACTCTTTGGCTTCAGCATTTAGGGCCACAGACTTTTTCAGTTTGTCACAAAGAAGCAATAGCTCGCGCGTCAAAGGGTTGATGCTTGAAACCGTTGGCTAAAGTGTTTGGTCCCAGCACTGTCAAGGATGTAGGCCCATGTAGGCATATGTATGTGGCAATAGGCCAGGCCACCTAATATGTTCATGGATGTGTCTGTATGTTTGTCGATGCGCAGCGAGCTGCATGTGAGCACACAGACACACAGGTGCACACGTGTTATCGACATGCACGCACACACAGCCAGGCAGAAAGACAGATGGACGGACAGACGGACGGACGCAGATCACATAAAGTTAATACTTGTAGCCAACAGGGAAGTCCAGTTTTCGTACAGACACGTAGCATCAAGCTGGCAGGACATTGTCCTGGACATTGCCCAGGCCGCTGCTAGGTTGACCAACACTGAGAAGCCTCTCTGAAACTTCGGTCGAGAAGGGTTCAGGATTTAGGTTCCGCACGTCAGTCCGATTCCGTTGGATGACAAGCAGAGCCAGCCCCAGAACAGGGCAGTGCGAGCAGGTGGCTGGGAACAATGGCCTGAAGCTCCCTCGAGAGTTCGGCCTACTCATCAAGCAGGTGGGACCTTCGCCACTGTAGCCTGTAGTGACTGCAGTGGTACCTCGCGATGACAGTCTTTGTACTTCGACCGGTACACGAAGCTCCTGGCTCCAGACCTGTAGCTCGGCTGCGGTTGAGACTCGAGAGCCTCTTGTGCGTTTGGATGACATGCATACCAGCAAGGAACATGATGTCTGATGACCGCATCGCGAACTTCGGGCAGGACTGTAGCGCACGTGGTGCTCACATTCTGATAACTGTGCAGACCCTAAATTCTAATCCCCGAAGCCCTGAATGCTCGCCTCCACATCTGGAAGCACGGACGGCGGCTTTTGTTTTAATCCACCATGGAGAGGAGAGCTGAAGTTCGGAGTTCGGGGGCTCATGAAGCTCTTGGCGTCCAGCTTCCAGGGAGTTGATGCACCTCTTCTCTCCATCCCCCGTGCTCTTTTTCCGAGCTACCCTCGACATAAGCCTTGACGTTGAGACTATGGAAACCTTTAGCAAGCTGTGACCCCAAGGCAGGTTTGTAACACTCCGGTTTTCTCGCGCCTCGGTTATGTGCATGTGCAAAGCTGCCACGGTCAGTGTAGTGTTGCTGCATACAGGACAGGTGCCGTCGACCCTTCAAGTTCCAGTGTCTAGCTTTCGGCACTTCATGTTTCGGGATCCTTGAGCTAAACAAGTGTCGGTGTTGCATGGTTTCGATCGAGGCTCGGGTGGCTGGAGCAGGGCCGCCTATACGTAATGTGACACTGCATCAGAAGAGCCTACTGAAGAGCCTACTGAAGCTTCTTGAAGCTATTTGATAAACCAGCGGAGAGCAAGCATCTCGTGAGTGAGGAGGCCGAGACTGCAGTCGCAGCGGAAGCGTGAGAGCACTGTCTGGGATCCCTCGTTGCTCAGAAGCTCCAGCCCTCACCTCGACCTCGACAGACTGACCCCCGAACCCTCGGATGGAAAGAACACTTCTGCCTTCATCAATTGGAGCTATGCAGCCTGCAAGCTCATAGTAGTGTAGCTATCGCATGCATTGGCCTGTACAGATCAGAGGCAGTTGCTGCCCCAGGCTGACCTGGGCACTCTTGTGCTTCACTTTTGCCTCCAATTTTCGGCCGCATGCAGATTTTCGGTCATACCGCGTCTTCAAACGAACTCGCACAGAATCGGCTGTTGCATTCTTAGTCAGACACCCTAATCTTCAGAGGAAGCTTCGCTTCAACTAGCTTCGAATGCACCAGCTTGCAAACGATGGCTTACCCTGCAGAGAAAACCCGAGCTGAGGCTGCATGTAAGAATCGTCGTCAACAGAGACCTTGGTCTTCCACACTTCGTGCAAGGGGTCAGTGGTCTAGATTGTCTAGATGTCGCCGGCAAAATGACTTCTTGAGTTTGGCGGCTGCGTATTGTTTATTCCCGTCTTCAAGTTTAAATTGGGGTCCAAGGTGCAGTGGCAAGTCGAGAGGCTTCAGATTGGCCCATCTTGGCCCTTGAAGTCGGCCCCTCGCAGGTCTCCTTCCTGGGTAGCGCCGATCGCGCAGTTTGTGGACCAGCAGTGCATTATCTTCGAGGATGAGGCCCGCTGGTCTGGAATCGAATCGCGTCGCGAAGGGACTCTCACAGTCCGGCACAGATGAGGTGCTCTAGGCTGTTGAAGAGCTTGTCAGCCCCAGATCCAAACGACATCCGTCTCCTGTGCTTGTCTTAGGATTTCTTCCACAGCCTCTGCGAAGACCGCAGGAGGAGAACAAGCTGGAGTACACAGAGTGCCACAACGAGTTTCGTCAGCTCATAGGCCTGGACAGGGTGCTCCTTGCTTCAGGGGGAGCCAGAGGGCAAGAGGTGCCAAGGAGAGCAAGCAAAAAGCGAGCGCTAGCCGCTAGCCGCTAGACAGAGGAGAGAGGCAGAGAGTTCGATCTAACCGATGGCGAGATAACCTGCTGGCGGCGCACCTATTGGAGCTGGACGTGAGCAACGAGCAGCCGGGAGCTCAAGGGTATCAGAGGTCTTAACTAACATGATGTCCATGGAGCTGGACAGAGGTCGTTGGCCACTCTTTCGGCAAAGTCGAGAATGGACTAGCTTGAAGTACATCTTTCGATGTCCATGCACGACCCAACCCGATGTGCGGTTTTCAGTTCCTGCAACGACCCTGCTTCATCGTTTTCTCGTCTTACTGTCGTTCGCAAATGTCCAGGTTCGAGCAGTTCTGCCAGACCGGTCTTTCCACGAAGCCGCTCGGCTCGGTAATCCAGAGGGACGTGCAGCACGAGCATCACATGCTCGATGTGACACGAAGCTATTTCCAGACCTCTGTGTGTGTCACAAAGACCGGTGGATACAACCTTGGCATGCTGTCATGCGCCCACGTAGGCAAGGGGTGGCACCCAGCAAGAAGAGAACCGACTGTGAAGTGTTTTTGTAAATGTAGTTCTTCCGCACTGCATGTTGCGCAGAGGTGTACACTATGAGCCAACGAAGTACAGGAGACATGCACTGTTGCCGGACGATCCTGTTTCGTGACTGTCTAAGTTCCACGCTGCACCGTGTCCTTGTGGAGCAGCTGTTGGCTGTGGACGACTTCCTTATCTTCAAGGCATGGCAGCATCACGCTCCCTCACATTCCATCAGGCTTTCAGATTCTTGGAATGTTGCAGCCGTTATAGCCGTTAAAGCTTATGCGACAACCATGTGAAAACCATCCTTGCGCGGGCCATCTTGCTGGGGGAGTCGAGGATCTTCATCGGCGTAGCAGGATTTTGACTCAGGCTCTGTGGTCCACGCTCAGCTTTAAGCATTCCGCAGACCTGGTTTTTGTGCAAATGCGCGAGGCCATGATGACGAAGAGGAATGCTGACTTATACCGAGAGGTCCGATCCATTTAGGAAGCTCCCGAAATGTTCGCTCTCTGTGGGGTTAGTTCGGCTTGCCTGGAAGTCTCGAATGCATCGAGAGAGGAGGCCGCTGCTCGTAGAATCCATCGTTCAGACGCGAGACTCAGAAAACCAGCGGCGGCGACCCCGACACGAGTCATAGTTATGGACCACAGAAGCTGTCTCTACTAGCAGTTGCCGCAGCAGCTCCTGCAGTGCTGCTGCTGCTGCTGCCGCTGCTGCCGCTGCTGCTGCTGCTGCTGCTGCTGCTGCTGCTCCACTGCTTTGCTGCTCCCCTGCTTTGTTGCTCTGCTGCTGCTGCTGATGATGTTGGTGTTGCTGTTGGTGTTTTTGTAGCTACTGTTGCTTGATTTGTGGACGTGTCAGCAGGCCCAAAGACGCGTGGACGCTGGCCAGCTCGATGAGGACTCGAGGGCTTGGGGTCTTGGGCTATGGTTGTGGAGGCGAGCTTCCAGCATGTGAGGTTGAGTTCTGTAAAGAAGCGCCAGCCGTTCCCTGCACTCTGTTTCGGGTGCTCTCTCTCCCTGTGTCTTCTTCAAGGAAGACTTCCATGAAACGACCGTGGTCGACGACGATGAGGACGCACACAGGGATCGAGGGCAAAGATCCGACAGGTTTATCTTCTTGTGAGTATCAGGGCTGACACTGTACTTCATCAAGGCTGCAGGTAACCTCGGTATCAGGTCCATTTCGTGCGGGAAGATACAGGCATCAGGTGTTAGAGGCCGCTTGTGTAGAGGAAGTGCTCGCGGGCCTGGGAGAAATGACGGTGGAGGCTTCCCTCGTCGCCGATGAGTGGAAGATGTACGAGGACCTGAAGACGCCAGAGCTTAGGCGGTGGGCCCATAGAGGCCGCCCCCTCTTAGTAGCAAGGAAGGGCTTCCAGAGACTTCGTTCCTTCTCTGCCCTTTTTTTTGACAGAGCTGCAGGATCAACTCTTCCAGGTGCCTTCTCGTATTGGGCTTCTGGCTGACGGTAGCTCTCGGACACTGTGGTGGAACGTTTCGGAACTGGGCGTTCGATGCCTTTCGGCAAAATCGCCTGACTGATACTTCGCTGAACAGCGTTCCGCATGCTACGCCAAATCGGGCCAGAGTCTGATGTGCCGGGATTCCAAATCCGTTCTGGGCACTAGAGGCAGCCTCCCAGGAATCTGAGCTCAGAGTTGAGTTTGGCTAAGCGTCTTCTGCAGAACCTCATGATCCCGAACGCTACGAGCCAGAAAGCTGCACAAAGCTTCAGCTCAACCCCTGAAGCCCTAAACCCTATGTCACGTCCCATGGGTTCAGGCTCTCGATGAGTCTCAGAAGGCCGACGACGAGCTTGCCAGGCAGCGGCAAAAGGAGGAGGCCTGCGAACATTCGGTCGTTCAGTCGTTTTCATGGTTTGGGGCTCAGAGCTTCGGCTTCAGAGTTCGATCTTTTGACATTCACCCGACTTCCATACATAGTGACACAAGACTTGTGTCAGAGTCACGTTACGTGACTTTAGCAGGATCTTGTTATCAGGCTTGCTATACTGAGATGCATTAGTTCTATGCACGAGGGTCTCGATTGTTGAAATATCATCACACTTTAAGACGTAAGGCGTGAATTCGGTTTTTGTGCAAAGTATGTTTTTGGTGTTATGATGGGGATACTAGCAACAGGAAGCCCAAGATCATATTGCATGAGCTTGCAGCAACAGTTGTTGCACAGGTGCTGGACTGCAGATTCCGCGAATTCGCGGCGTAGGGGGAATTCCGGATCCCTTAGCCCAAGCCCCAAACCTCGCAACCCTCACCAGACGCCAAACCGGCCAATTTCTCAAAACCGTAAATCTTGAGACCTCCGAGCTCCTTGGCATGAGCCCTTCGAAGTGACACGCCGGTTGGGTTGTAGGCAAACCCTTCAATGCTGGAGTGCTAGGAGGAACTGGAGAGGGCCTTAGTCCTCTCACTGCAGATGGAGGAGGCCGTGGTGGCTTTTGGGGGCTGTGGCACGCTAGACCGAGATTCAAGCTGGAGCGGTGGAGGATGCAGGGTTAGGCGGGTTAGGTGTTCAAGATTCCGGTGTTGACGGAGGGCCACGGGAGCGGTTTCGATGAGCTTCCTAAGTCCGAGGGCATGAAAAGGCGGTTCTGGGGGAACAGGTTGTCCTAGGTTGTCGCAGAGGAGGTGTTGGGAGCCTGTTCATTCTGCGCTTCCCGATCCGAACAGCTTGAACCAAAGGCCCCGCCGTCCCCAATGACAGGAAAGGATGCATGGCCTGGCGGGCGAGGTGCGCTCCTGTTGCAGACGAGCGTTGTGAAGATCTCAGGGTTAATTGAGGGTCTTGATCTAGCGCCTTAGTTGCAGGATAGCTTACACAAGTAGCATCAAGAGTCTAAGTCACAGTCGTGTGAGTCTGAGGGCCAGCATCACAATCCTTGAGGCAGCCAGGGCTTCTTCGAGTAAGAAACAGACTAGAAGGCGTGACGCCAGGTCACACCGAACCTACGGTAAAGCCAGGAGCCAGCAACTTCCAGTATTGCCGTGCCGCTAGGTGGAGGTCGTGCCGGTCGTAAGAGCAACTTAGCCACAAGATGCATCCAGAAGGCCGCAAATGCCTCGCCGTCCTCGAGCTCGGCGGCGGGCCAGGAGAGCGTTTTTGAAAGAGACTCTAAAAATCTAACTCTTTGCAAGTGGCATGAGATAGGCAGTGGTCGATGTCGTGTTGCTGCTGATGATACAAGTGATGGTGATGCTGATGGTGGTAGCGATGACGGGTTGATATGAGTTGTTTTTGTTCTTGTTGTTGCTGCTATCGCCGGTGATGATGATGGTGAGGTTAAAAAGGGGATGAGAATAAGAATGATTGTAATCAGGATGGTTTCGTTGCTTCTCGTAATGTTGGTGTTGCTGTTGCTGCTGATGATTGATTGATTGATTGATTGATTGATTGATTGATTGACTGATTGACTGATTGACTGATTGATTGATTATGATGATGATGATGATGGGCAGCATCAGTAGTGGTGAGTGGTGGTGCTGATGACAGGGCGCGGCGCGATGAGGTGAGGTGAGACGGGGCAGGGGACCAGGATGCTGCACCGCCACCGCCTGCACCGCCGCCTCCATCGGAGGCCTCTGCCATAGTACAAAATCTATTCTACAGATGGTCGAAAGTAGATGATTCCGACATGCGTAGCTTATGCGGAACTATGCGTGCGGAACGTACTGTCCACAAAACAGAGGGAATGACGTAAACTTGAAAAAACGAATCTTCACACGGGGCCGTTTGTGAGGCTTGCGCCCCAGCCCACACCACCCCATCCCACCCCACCGGTCACCCTTACCGCCCCGGACGACTGGAGCACCCCTTCTTGGTTGCGGATTTGAAGCCCGGAGGTCGAGGTTTTTCTAGGCGATGCAAGTAAAGCTTCGAAAGGCAACCAAACTCTTCTGTCCAGGGCCTTGCGCGTCCTAGAGATTTCTAGGGTCTTGTATGTGCGGGCACGAGAATACAGAGAAGCAGGGGCCCAGATGAATCTGACGTGGATTTGGGGGCTCAAGTGGAAAAGCCTGAAGCAGATAGGTGTAATGTGGCACAAGGCCTTGCTCTGGGCCTTCTTTGTGCTGCTGCGACAGGTAGACAGGCCAGCGACTCCAGCCATAGTGCCCTCCACCTGCGTCTGCTCGAGTCAGGAGTCTCATCGATCTGAGGTATTTGAAGAGGAGCGAGTGGTCGTGCAGGCATCTGGCCCCTCCAGGGTCGAGACTGTGGTGATCGCAGCTGTAGTGGGTTGGGCACCCTGGGTCCTCTCCGGGTGCTTGACCTTCTGGACTGGAAGGAGACTTCCGCCTTCCCCTTCTAATGGCCGGCGTCGGGGCGGAGGTGTTCTGGAGGTTCCGGGCAGGAGCTAGAGTCGTCGTGTTCTACCAGGACGACACCGTGTGGCATGAGCGCTACATTCTGGCCCCAGGGCACCACGCCGAGATATACTGGATAGTGACACCGGACGACGACGTTTACGAGGAAGATCTTCGAGGCAGATCGCCTGACGGGCCATCTCGAGTGCGGGAGGTGCCCCCGGGCATACGCACCCTTCCTAATTTGAGGACCTCGGTGTACCGCTTCTGGGAGGCCATGACGGACGCGTACCTGAAGGCGAAGATCAAAGTCGCGCTTCGAGAACATGAGGAGGCCTATGGGTCGATTGCGTCAATGGCCGACTGGCAGGTTGACCTGCCCAGTGGAGGCACCGTCACCCTGGGAGGTTTGATCGGACGGCGGCTGGCTGGCAAGGGTCCGGCAGGCCGGCGTACCGAACAGGCTGACGCTGGCTGGAAGGACACACCAGGGCACTCGTGGCTCGCTGCCGAGCCCCGGTAAGGGATTCGGCTGGGAGATGTCTTAGTGCCCAAACCTGGGGCCGACGTTGAGCTTGGAGACACAGATGGCGTATTTTTGCGAGATGGCCGATGGCTCCGGGGAGAGCTCGTTCCGGACACACTGCGTGACGCTTGGATCCAGGAGCGCATCAACTCCTTGACCAGTGTCCGACCTCAGCCCATCGCTCCTGCGGACATCCTGGGGATCCCGGCCGACGCCGTCGCGATTGAGGCCGCCAACCAGGACACGACCCTCGACAAGGAGAAGGACAAGGAAGAAGGCCAGACTGGTGGAGAGAATGATGCCCGAACGCTTTGGGTTGAGTATGACGAACAGGGGGAACGCCACCGAGAATGGCGCAAGGTTGTAGCTGACTGCGTTGTGCACTCCTGGAAAGATTGGCCACACGAGGCGCCTCCATCCCTGCAATTCGCCCTGAAGCAGTTCGGAAAGATCGGAGGGGATCCGAGGCTGTGGTTTCAACTGTGGCTGCGGCGGCACCACCTTGCCGAGACTGATAGGACAGCACACGAAGTACGCACTCTCATTGAAGCCCTCTATCTGGGAGGGGTGTACGATCAATTAAACCTCCCCTCACTTGCAGCCTTCGAAGCGATAGGGAGGAGACTTCAGACGATTACCGAGGCCTACTCGGCATCCCCTGGCAATGCCCCCGAGTGGCATCACGCCCGTCTTTTCACTGGCGTCTCTTCTCCAGACGAGATCGTGCCTCAAGAACTTCGTGCCTGGGCCGCAAAGCGGGGGAAAGACGAAGTCGAGCTGATCCAGGCGAGGAGCAAGATCAAGGAGGTGCGGAAGCTTCTCGCCAGTGGGGAGTCTACAGGTTCCGCTGCCGAAGATGCACTACCTGGC